GCTCCTCCAAATCGGAGACATTCCTCCAAATCAGAGAAACATTTTACCCATGTACCCCAAATCGGATTGACAGTTCCTCCAAATCGGAGACAGTTCCTCCAAATCGGGATAGTTCCTTCAAATCGGAGACAGTTCCTACAAATCGGTGACAGTTCCTCCAAATCGAGAACAATTTTTTCCTCCAATTTTTGAGATAGTTCCTCAAAATCGGAGACAGTTCCTACAAAATTGGGGACAGTACCCCTCCAAATCGGAGACATTTAAATTGGAGACAGTTCCACTGGGAAAAATTTTGATTGACAGTGTTTTTTTTCCTCCAAATACGGACATATTCCTCGAAACTGGAGGACAGTTCCTCCACATCGGAGACAGTTCCTCCAAATCGGAGGAGACAGTTCCTTCAACTTTTCGAGGACAGTTCCTCCAAATCGGAGACAGTTCCTTCAAAACGGGGACAGTTCCTCCAAACCGGGACAGTTCCTCCAGATCAAACAGTTCCTCCACATCGGGGACATTTCCTCCAAAAGTTTTTATTTATCAGGGAGACAGTTCCTCCAAATCGAGGACAGTTTCCGGGACCATTCTCCAATTCGGGGACAGTTTTCCTCCAAATCAGGGACAGTTCCTCCAAATCGGAGACAGTTCCTCCAAATCGGGGACAGTTTCCTCCAAATCGGGGACCGTTCCTCCAAATCGGGGACCGTTTCTCCAAATCGGAGACAGTTTCTCCAAATCGGAGACCAGTTCCTCCAAATCGGGGAACCATTCCTCAAAATCACAGTTCCTCCAAATCGGGGACCGTTCCTCCAAATCGGAGACAGTTCCTTTTTTTTTTCCTCAAATCGGAGACAGTTCCTCCAAATCGGGACCGTTCCTCCAAATCGGGGAAACAGTTCCTCCAAACCAGGGACACTTGGAAGCCTCAAACTTTAGTAGCACATTCGGAGGGACCTTGAAGAAATCATTTGTTTCACTGTCCTGTGCAGAAGGATTCTAGATAGGAAAGGTTCGGAGTTCATTATAATTTATTGGATGCACTCTCAGTTTCTAATGACCAGAAGTTGCAGGTCTGCATCCTTTCAAGTGAAGCATTAAACTCTTGGGGAGTGTTCACCAAAAACTGAAAGTTCCTATTTCAGGGATTGCAGGGGATGTAATGTTGAAGATTTGCGTTTTTATTCTATAAAATATATGGAAAAATATTTTCCAAAAAATTCATTCAAATATTACCGTGTGTTTTAAAAATACAAAATCAGCTCCTTCAAATTTGGAATGCAGTTTTCCAAATATATGATTAATTTACAACTTTTTTTCATATTTTAAAAAAAAATCTGGAGAATATATTAAAAAATATATATTTTTTAAAAATACGGATATTTTTTAAATATATTCTTCACATTTTTTTTTTTACATATAAAAAAGTCATTTAACATATTTTTACATAATTTGTAAATGCATTCCAAAAATGGAGATTTGACATTTTTTAAAGACATACGGCATATTTTGAAAGTTTTTAAAAAATATTTTTCAGACATTTTGTGATAAAAACACATTTCAAAAGACAGTATACAGTTGCAAAGAAAACAGTATGTGAACCCCTTGGGAAGTTCCTACGTGGAGTTTTCATGAATTGGGCATAAAATGTGCTCTGAACGTCATTAAGCCACAACAATAGAAGAACACAGTCTGCTGAACATAAGTTACTACACAAACATTAGATGTTGACATGGTTAATTGCCATAACATGTAAACAGTTCACAGTGCGGAGGAAAAAGTATGTGAACCAAATCGGGGGACTTACTAACTGGTTGACCCTCCAATTTGGCAGCAAAAACCTCAACCAAACGTTTCCCTTAGTTGCAGATCAGACCTGCGCAACGATCGGAGTAATTTTCGTGGGACCACTCTCTTCGGGACAAAACTGTTCCAGTGTAGCAATATTCGGGGGACATTGTCTGGTGTGGAATCGCTCTCTTAAGGTCATTCCTCCACAGCATTTCAATTCGTTGAGGTCAGGTTCTCTGACTGGGCCCTCCAGAAGGGCGTATTCTGTGCTGTTGGGCAGCCATTTGTTTTGTTGAATTAACTTGTATACTTTGGGTCATTGTCCTGTTGCATCAACCCATCCTCCGGAGCTTCATTGGCGGACAGATGGTCGTACATTTTCCTGCAAAATGTTTGATAAACTCTGGAATTCAGGTTTTTTCCCATCAATGACAACAATCCGTCCAGGCAGCCAGGAGCAGCAAAGCAGTTTCCCCCATAACCATGGGATGCTCCCTCCGCCAGTGTTTTACAGTGGGGATGAGGTTTTGATGTTGGTGTGCTGTGCCTTTTTTTCCACACATAGTGTTTTGTGTGTTTCTTCCCAAACAACTCAATCTTGTTTCATCTGTCCCACGGTGATATTTTGCCAGTAGTGCATTATAATGTGGAACATCCAGGTGCTCTTTTGCAAACTTCAAACGTGCTGCAATATTTTTTTGGACAGCAATGCTTCCTCCGTGGTGTCCTCCCATGTACTCCATTCTTGTTTAATGTTTTCCTTATTGTAGATGGTGTCAACAAAAATGTTAGCATGTGCCAGAGATTTCTGTAGGTATTTAGCTGACACTTGGGATTCTTTAATTTTACTTATGCAGCATTCTGCGCTGTGCTCTTGCAGTCATTTTTTACAGGACGACCCCGCCTAGGGAGAGCAACAACAGTGCTAAACTTTTTTCCATTTGTAGACAGTCTGTCTTACCGTGGACACATGAACATCAAGGCTTTTGCAGATACTTTTGTAACCCTTTCCAGCTTCATGCAAGTCAACAATTCTTGATCGTAGCTCTGAGAGCTCTTTTCTGCGAGGCATGGTTCACTTTAACAGTGTTTCTTGAAACCAGCAAACCCAAAACAGGTGTGTGTTTTTTTTTAAGGGCAGGACAGCTGTCAGCAACACATCCAATATCATCACACTGATTGGAGTCAAGGTTGGCTAAAATACACAACATTAACTCCTGGCTCCAATTAGCTCTGGGAGAAGTCATTAAGCTAGGGCCTCACATACTTTTTCCTCCCTGCACTGTGAATGTTTACATGTTATTGCAATATTTAAACCATGGCAAACATCTAATGTTGTGTAGTATTATGTTCTGCAGACTGTGTTCTTCTATTGTTGTGACTTAGATGACGTTCAGAGCACATTTTATGTCCAATTCATGCAAAACTCCACGTAATCCCAAGGGGTTCACATACTTTTTCTTGCAACTGTATCTATATAGAAATATATTTTAAAAATATAGAGTTTTTTAAAAAAACATTTTTTTAAATAGATTCTTCAGATTTTTTTTTACATATAAAAAAGTCATTTTAACATGGTATATTTTTACATATATTTGTAAATGCATTCCAAAAATGTAGAATTGTATTTTTAAAGACATACAGTATATTTGAAATGTATTTTTAAAAATATTTTTCATATATTTTGTAATAAAAACACATTTCAACATACAGTATATCTATATATAAATATATTTTAAAAATACATATTTTTAAATATATTCTTCAGATTTTTTTTTTACATATAAAAAAGTAATTTAGCGTATATTTTTACATATATTTGTAAATGCATTCCAAAAATGTAGAATTGTATTTTTAAAGACATACAGTATATTTGAAATGTATTTTTAAAAATATTTTTCAGACATTTTGTAATAAAAACATATTTCAACATACAGTATATCTATATATAAATATATTTTAAAAATACATATTTTTAAATATATTCTTCGGATTTTTTTTTTACATATAAAAAAGTAATTTAGCGTATATTTTTACATATATTTGTAAATGCATTCCAAAAATGTAGAATTGTATTTTTAAAGACATACAGTATATTTGAAATGTATTTTAAAAATTTTTTTTTTATATATTTTGTAATAAAAACGCATTTCAACATATATTATAAATATACATATATATATATATATATATATATATATATATATATATATATATATATATATATATATTTATTGAAATATATTTTGAAATATATTGAATATGGCCAAAATTGTAGCATTTCAATTATATGTCAATATATTTGGGAAGAATATTTTTTCTAGGCAAGAATGACATGCCCCAACTCCTGAAGCCTCCTGAGAAACCTCCAGGAGGTTTTGGCTTCTACACACTGTGGTTGGAGGGGAGAGGATCTGGTTCGTGTCATCACCTGAACCGGGAAGAGATAGGTGGCTTTCAAAGAAGAAGACCAATGTATGGCAGCCAACTAGCGGGTTACGGCAAGACCAGGCTGGATTTGTGGGATGGGTGAGCATGTGAATTCAACACGAATTGTAAAAATAAATGAAGACACTGGAAATGAAATTTCTCTTTAAGGGGAAAAGACTTCTTTATAAGGTCTCCAAAAATTGTATGTGGAAAAAATGACATGTATTTGTTTTTTAACAAAGCCATGTGATGATCGGCGCTCCAAATCGCCCTGTGGATGGAGGACATTTTGAACCCCTGACGCGTGTTGGCTTTTTACTGCATGAGGCTTTCTTTTACCACAATCTGCTTTCCACTTTGCATCTTCAGTTGATATGAGCCTTCACAAGGTTGTGGCCCCTGGAATACACAGCTGGAATACCTACCAAAAATATTGATCTGGTGCCCTACCCTCTCTTATACATGAAATGTGTCCCCATGACACGGAAGTCAACGGTTTTGTTTATAAACAAAGCCTCATCGCTATATTTCTTTCTAGGATTCCAGAGGCCCTCAGTGTACCGTTGTTGGGCATTAGAGATGGTCCAGGAAGGTCAAGAGGAGTTTTCATAACCATTGAACCCAACAAGCCCACCAAAAACTTCTTTGGTGACTCGTTGGGGTTGATTTACTAATGAAGTAGAGCATGTGAAATTAAATTTTTATTGTTTGCTCATGGTTGCTCAGCCCCCGAGTGTCTCTTTAACTGGGCTGATATGCCTGGGGGATGGGAAGGTCAACCGTGATCATAAGACAAGATTACTTTACCAAGTGAACAACCTATACTTTAGAAAAATCAACCTCCATGACTCCAATCAGGGGCGGACTGACAACTCATGGGGCCCCCCGGGCAATAGGAAATCATGGGGCCCCTGTGTCCTCGCCCACACTCAAACCACACCTAAAAAAGCCTATGACATGGGCATCTAATGGGGCCCCCTACCGACCCCGAGCCCTCGGGCAGTGCCGAGTGGCTAAATGGTCAGTCCGCCCCTGACTCCAATGCATTGCTTCTGAAATGGAAAGTATCTTTCTCAAAATTTGTGTAGTTAGGTTGCTAGTAGGTGTAGCAATCTCCTAGTTTAGCTAGGGGCAGCTAGACTCCAGTGGTTGGACAGGGGCTGAGCAGCAGCCCAGGTGTAATAGCCAGAGAGGGGTCAGATTGTGGTCAGGGCTGAGAAGCTTTGCAGGCCAGCTCCTCTGTTATTTCCCCCTGCTCTAGGGCTTTTGGAAGAAGGCCTTAGAGGCAGTGGGTGGATCTGAGGAGTGGCTGGCTGCACTCTTGAAGGGTCCTAGCCATTCCCCAACAAGAAGTTGGCAAGGGGCTGGACACCCTTAAAAAGTGTTGGGGCCTGCTCAAAAGCAGGAGAGTTCGAGAGGAAGATGTGAGGCTGTGAGTAAGGAGGCTCCCAGGAGACCTAATGGGATGGGGCTGCCTACAAGCCTGGAGCTGGAAAGGCAAAAAGTTTGGAACTCACTGGCCCCCTGAGAGAGGACCACTTGCATGGCAGGGAAGGAGCGGCCCAGATGATAGGCCTGGTAGCATCAGACAACCCGCAAGGGGTACAGGAGAGGATCTGAGAGAGTACTCCTACACCCCATCTGCGAATAAAGGGAAGTAGCACTCTGGTGGGAAACCAAAAGAGCCCCCCCCACTAGTGATTGATCACCTATTTAAAAGGACAGGAACCGGATCCCCTGCTCTGGGATAACTCCAGATTTATGGGTGAAGAGAAGTTCATCTGGGGTCTGGGGTGGTACATCAAGGAGATGCTGGCCAACTCTCCAACAGGGACTGTCCTGCAGAGAAAGCTTGTGAATAGTTCCAGGAAGTTGTCCTCAGTTGTCGGTTCCCTTGGGGCATCCTATTCCAGTTCTAAATCCCTGTAGATAGGCACTCCGCACGCACTGGAGATCGCACTGTACTTGCGATTCCCCTGCGGACTGAGGTTCCAGAATTTTTGCAGGGAAAAGGTCAGGAAGCATGCCAGCCCATTGAAATGAATGAGCAGCTGATCCCGCACAAAACGTGGCTCGTGGAGCTGCATAGGTTTGAACCTAGACTTACTGCCTGGCTAGTGTGTTGAGAGACTGTGAAGCTGCTGTGTGCCTGGCCAATAGGGAGTAGAACCCAGGACAAAACTGCAAGGCCAGTCTGGGGTCTGCGCTACATTTGGTTAAGCAAACACACAATCTTTGGTGTCAGATGTGTCCATTCAAGACGGCTTGTGAATCTAAATTACAAGAAATATACTGGCCAACCGGGGAATATTACATATGTGAGCACATAAAGTGGTGAGCTGACTGAAGGCGGTCACCCCAGGGGAGCGTGTAATCTAGCATGTGGTGGGAAGGAGGTCATCCATGCAGACTGGGTTAGCTACGGGTGATTTAACCCATGATGCTAATCATAACCCATGATCCCATACTGAACCTGCAGAGACCTCAATAAAATATTACTATGAATACTAACATTAATAATTATGCAATGCATCATAATAAAAATGCTACAATAATGTGGGTAAAAATGAGGATCGGCACTACTTGACTATTTTTTAAGGATTGCTTTTTAATGAGCTGTTTTTTAAAAAAACAAAAACTGTTGCTGTATATGGTGACATTATTATTATTATTATTATTATTATTAATAATAATAATAATAATAATAATAATAATAATAATAACAACATGATGAGTATTATTATTATTTTTATTAATAATTTTGTTATTATTGTTATTATTATTACTATTATTATTGATGTTAGTATTATTATTTATTATTACTACGAGTGTTCTTCAAAACGTTTCCAAACTTTTTTTTAACATATATTAACATATAATAATAATAATAATTATTATTGTTCTTAATAATAATAATAAATTCATATTATTATTATTATTATTATTATTATTATTATTATTAATAATAATAATAATAATAATAATAATAATAACATGATGACTATTATTATTATTATTTATTAATATTGTTATTATTATTGATGTTAGTACTATTATTTATTATTACACAGGGTTCTTCAAAAAGTTTCCACACTTTTTTTTAACATGTATTAACATATAATAATAATAATTATTATTATTATTATTATTATTATTATTATTATTATTAATAATAACATGATGACTATTATTATAATTATTTTTATTAATGTTGTTGTTATTATTATTACTATTATTAGTAATATTAGTACGAGGGTTCTTCAAAACGTTTTCACACTTTTTTTCTAACATGTATTAACATATAATATTAATAATAATAATATTATTATTTATTATTATTATTAATAATAATAATAATAATTATATGATGCCTATTATTATTATTATTATTAAAATTGTTATTGTATTATTACTATTATTATTATTATTGATGTTAGTACTATTATTATTTTCCACACTTTTTGTAGCATACATACTGTATATATAAATGGATAAAAGTGAGGAAACCTTTTGAAGACCCCTCATATTATTATTGGTATTATTATTAATATTAATATTGCTTTAGTATTATTATTATTATTATCATCATCACTATTTTTTATATATCATTTTTTATTATTATACAAGTTGTGACAATTTAAGTCCAAGAATTGACTTTTTTAAAAAAAAATGTTTGCTTAACTATACACTAGAGCACGGGTGTCAAACTGGCGGCCCTCCAGCTGTTGCCGAACTACAAGTCCCATGAGGCATTGCAAGATTGGCAGTTACAAGCATGACTCCCAAAGGCAGAGGCATGATGGGACTGGAGGGCCGCCAGTTTGACACCCCTGCACTAGAGGCTATCATCATCTTAAAAGTAGTCCCCTTGTGAAACGACTACTGTGCCACTGTTGGAAAAATTCCTGGAATTTCGGAATACTGCGCAGCATCTTTGTCGCGGCGCGCTGGATGTCCAGAATGTCATCAAATCTGTGTCCTTTTAAGACATTTTTTAATTTTGGAAAACAGTCAAAAGTGTCCGGGTGCTAAGTCAAGGGAATAAAGTGGTTGGTCAATTTTCGGAATGGATTTCTGGGCCAGGAACTAAAACACTTTACGCATCATGCGCAGGAGCATTGTCGTGGTGGAGACTCCACTTCTCAGGCCAGAGTTCAGGTCTTTCTCTCCGAACAGATTCCTGTGACCAGAGTTCCCTGGTCTGCGACCCGACAGAGTGCCAGTTAGAAAAACGCACGAACGCGTGCAAATGGTTGTGTGACTCACCGCCACAGTGCCACACTGCAATCATTCTGGGAATTAAATTGTCACATCTCGTACAGGATTTCTGCTGCGCCAATAGTTTGCATGGTGCTTTACAAAAAATTTCAGGAATTTATTCAGACTTGTAACGGTTCACTTTAAAGAGCACCTGTCATCGGATTCTACAGAAACCTACATTGGTCAGCCTAAGGATCAGCCACATGCACATTTCAACTTTTGAAAATTCTGTAATTTTTCTTCCTCCATTAACGGGCCAAGCTGTCCAGAGAAAAAAAATGCCAACTCCCATTGGAGAAAGAATTTGGTGTTTACATGAGCACATGGATGCACAACCAATCACTTCTATGGCCCGTTGTATGCATCACCTGTGACACCCCAGCCACAGGAAAATGCCTATATGATGCCCCTAGTCTCCAACAACGTCTATAGCATGTCCTCAGTCTCCAACAACTTCTATAGCATGTCCCCAGTCTCCAAGAACTCCTGTGGCACATCCCCAGCCTCCTACAACTCCTATAGCATGTCCTCAGTCTCCAACAACTTCTATAGCATGTCCCCAGTCTCCAACAACTCCTATAGGATGTCCCCATTCTCCAACAAATCCTATAGCATGTCCCCAGTCTCCAACAACCCCTATAGCATGCCCTCAGTCTCCAACAACTCCTATAGCATGTTCCCAGGCTCCAACAAATCCTATAGCATGTCCCCCGTCTCCAAGAACCCCTATAGCATGTCCCCAGTCTCCAAGAACTCCTGTGGCACATCCCCAGTTTCCAACAACTCCTATAGCATGTCCCCAGTCTCCAACAACTCCTATAGCATGTCCCCAGTCTCCAACAACTCCTATAACATGTCCCCAGTCTCCAACAACTCCCATAGCATGTCCCCAGTCTCCAACAACTCCTATAGCATGTCCTCAGTCTCCAACAACTCCTATAGCATGTCCCCAGTCTCCAACAACTCCTATAGCATGTCCCCAGTCTCCAACAACTCCCAAAGCATGTCCCCAGTCTCCAACAACTCCTATAGCATGTCCCCAGTCTCCAACAACTCCCATAGCATGTCCCCAGTCTCCAACAACTCCTATAGCATGTCCCCAGTCTCCAACAACTCCTATAGGATGTCCCCAGTCTCCAAAAACTCCTGTGGCACATCCCCAGTCTCCATTAAATCCTATAGCATGTCCCCAGTCTCCAACAACTCCCAAAGCATGTCCCCAGTCTCCAAAAACTCCTGTGGCACATCCCCAGTCACCATTAAATCCTATAGCATGTCCCCAGTCAACAACAACTCAGACTGTGCACTTTGCAAATGCAGTTGCTCCAGAGCTTAGTATATGAGGGAAAGCTCTGCTGAATTCCATCATCCAATCATATGCAAGCAATATGATGTTTTTCCCTGCATGTGATTGGGTATTTTTTGCAAAGTGAAACTTTACCTCATTTACTACTCTCTGGAACAACTGCACTTGCAAAGTGCACAGTCTATTGGGCTTTAGTAAATCAACCCCCTAGTGTACATCTTTAGTCTCAGTTTCCTGTAGCATTACATTCACTGACTAATATGTACGCCCCTTTGGTCATGT